GGCCTTGTTAAACTCCATGAGGAGTTTATGTTAACAAAAACTACAAGAAAATGTATTGCGCATTAGGTGGGTAGTCTTTTCTAGCTGGTATGTAATCATTGTCTTATACAGTTTCTTTGTTTTAGTTAAAAACATGAACATATCCCAGCTTGGCCATCCAAACACTTTTTTCAGCAATATGCTGTGTTACTTACGTCCTACATGTATACTGATATTCTCTCCCTATTTTTAAGTCCTTAGAAAATAATAAATTTGCCTAAACTGAATGTACAGTCTGGTTTTGAAGTTTGGTGGATGCTGTAGGTCTCATGATTAGAATATTAAAGGATGATGTGTGTTCTTAAGGTCGCTATTTCACTAAAATACCTGTTGTTGCCAAGAGAGAAAACATCTGTTAAGTACTGCAGCTTCGAGTCACTGGTGTGTTTTTCTTCTGTGTTTGTGACACTGTTGTTTATATTGAAATTTTTTTTCTTCAGAGGTTGAAGGGAGAAGTGGGATATAATACTAGTAGTGCTATATTGAATGTTATGTTGGAGTGGGGAGGAGGAAGTTTTGAATAGTACAAGTTAATTACAAATGTCTAGATCCACATGCAGTTTTGCAGTAATGTAAGAAATAATGTAAGAAAATTTCAGTCTCTGACTTCCTGATTTGTGTGCTTGTGATAACGAGCTCTAAACAAAGTAATACAAGTTACTCATTCATAGCACTACGTAAAGAAGTTGAGAGAAATAGATACACAAATACCTCTGTAGCTAAGCTTAGCTATTTTTTCATGATTGCAAATAGTTTAGAGTTCTTGGATTTTCTTTTTTTTTTTTCCCTTCAGTTTAAAAAATCATGAAATACACATCTTCCCATTTAAGGTCATATCTCACACAGAGACTATTGGCACTTTTGTGGTGAGTTATATGGGCAAACAAGTGTCTGTTCATGACGTGAAGTACCTAGTTGTGCAGAAGGAGGTACTGGGCTGTGGGGCAGTGTGAATGTTCAAACATGCCTCTCTAGACATCATAGCAGCAGCTGGGCTGAGGGGGTAGGGATGGAATTGTTTTAGGGGCTGAAAACATCCTTGAGATGTTTTTTGGCCTGTGTGGTTGATCTATACAGTAATGTATACCGTTCCTGTGCAAAGTTTTGTTCAGATGGTGAGTGGAGATGATGACTACAGCAGGTTCTGCTGGATATCCTTGTTCTACAGAGCTACAGTGCTCCTCAGCTGTTGAAAGTAGTGCTCTGTAAATATGAAGTAGTTTTGACTGGTAAGCACACTACTTCTTCCCCACAAATTTCACTGGTGTCAACATTAGGAAGTCTGTTTTGCGCTGACTGCCATACTTTTCAGTATTACTATGTTTTAGTAGCTCATTGCAGTTTGGAGTTGTTTTCCAGTTTCTGCTATATGCATGCAGATGATCTCTAGGTGTCTCATAACTTTCCTGTTTTGAAAGTAGGATTCCCACTTTTCTGATCAGTGACTTACCCTATTAGGTCTGAGGGACAGGCATGTGCACTAGGATTCATAAAGGATGTGACCATGGCCTTACTTGAAACACCTAGTAAATGGGAAAGGGATGGGTATGGCATTCATATCTGGGAAACAGTGAGGACAGTAATCACCTCTGAGTTCAATTGAACTCAAGTCCAATTCATTCATGAGTTGGATGGGTTCAGCTCTTCAGGGCAAACTCATTGAACTCATCAGGTAAAGGTTGGGGTGGAAGATGGGATTGCAAAGAAAATAGAGCATCCTTGGTCATTTCTTCCAGCATTTGCTAAACTTTGAGGGCAAATTGCTGAGAGCATCTTTATTTTGAAAATGAGATTGAGATTGGGATTAGTTAGTGCAATGTTTTCTATCTCAAGCACAGAGACATGAAGATGAGGATGCATTAAGCTGGTGTCAGTGTTGGAAAGCTCCAATTAGACCTTTTTATGTGGAGAAAGTTTCTTAGCATGTTACTGTACTTCAGGTCGATGCCTATGCTGTAGTAGTGATAGTGTAAGAATACATGTGGTGCCATGGCTGACTCATTCTCCTGTTCAGCTGTTGTACAAAGGCATCATTAGTTATGCCTTTTTTAATGTTTGTATGTGCAGCTAGTCTGTATTGTGATGCTTTCAACAGAAGGCAGAAGTTTTGCAAGCATGCTCAAAAAAAAGAGGCTTTAATACACAGTGCATCACCTCTCTAACTATTTGGATGAGCATGGTAAGTACTATAGTCTACTGTCGGGATGGGGCATCAGTAGCACATTGTATGACACTTGTACTACAGGGATCTCTGTCCAGATGGTTTTGTTTCACATCACGTCCTCAGCACTACCTAAAACTGTAAGCATTCTTAAAGAACAGAGAATAAGAACTTCCTTATTTTTGCTAAGTGGGAGAAACACAGTGTGAAAAGAAACCAAGGTCGTCTTTCCAGGCATGTATGCATGCATTTTATAATTGCTACTGTGAAATTTCATGCTCTTGCACAATATGGTGTGTCAGCAGGCTTCTCCCCAGCTTGTTGGTTATCAGCTGATCTGTGTGAGTAACCCTACCCATTCTTGACATTTTGTAACAAATAACTTGGGCAGTCAAGATCAAAAGAAATACCACTTCGACATAGACTAGTGTTTAAAAAGATCCTTCTAAATTACGTGACCCAAAGTCTGTTGGCTGTTATGTTTTTGGAATTTCAGGGCTGTGACAAACAGTTCTTTAATGCATCTGTTCAATACTCCAACATGGACCTGTTGTTGGATTATATTAACAAGCATTCTGATGAGTTTGGAGTGAGGGTCCAGTATGCCACCGTTGGTGATTACTTCCAAGCAGTTTATAGCAGAAATCTTACTTGGGATATTCGGGACTCTCAAGACTTTCTTCCGTATTCAACAGGTAATTAAGTTCACAACTGCATACTGTCTGCCTCAGATGTACGTATTTAAAATGTTAATAAAGGGGAATTGAGAAAATGTGAAAAACACCACCTCCTTATAATGCTTATTTACACTACCAGCTGTTACCAAACAGACAAGCTGATCCCAACTTAGTGGTCTAAGAAAGATGGTAGGGCAGTGGTTGGAATATTTCTTTGGAACCATTGGAAGCAACGGGTGGAGGAAGAGTCCCTGGGGGCCGAAGGCTTATTGCAGTGAGAGTGTTGGGGGGGGGAAAAGAGTATAGATTTGTTGCCAAGTTCACCTACTTCTAACTTGAGGTTTTTGGTTTGCTGTCTTTCCTTTGCACTCTGTTGCTATTCAAAGCTAAGCACAAGGTATATCCATGTATGTCAAGTCATCCAAATTTTTTTAATGACCTGAAGAAATATTAAGATATTGCACTAATCAGGTTCTGTTACAGTGCAAATGGTTAGCAATGACATAAACCTGTGGTTCTAGGCCACCTGGCTGAAATTCAGGTAGATATTTCAGTGGATGGATGACAGAAGAAGAGACTAACACTGCAAACTGGTTAGCAGACAGCAGCGATAGCAAAGGTGCTTTACAGAGGTGTCCCAGCGCAACAAATAAAGTCTCGCATGACACTGGAGGGGTCCTGTCTGAACTCTTCAAAGCTGAGATCCTAGTACTCGTTCTGCGTCAAATACAGACTTTTGACAATTTGTTTCATGTTTGGACATCTAAGTAGGAATTAATTCTGTCCTCTGCCTCCCTCACATTAACACGTACAAACAACCTGTGGAGAAGGGAGGCAGGTAACCAGGGGACCAAGGCAGCGTGAAAGCTCTTAGGGTACTACTTTGTTATTACAGTGGAATTGGAGTGGTCAAAGTGAAACAGCTGGTGCTGAGGATTTGTGTCCACACTATGTAATTCCAGGAAGATTGGATATAATCTGGTCAGATGGACTGAGTACCCATTAATGCTTGTTATATTTTGTCAGGAACTAGTTTGTGAGCTCCAAAACCTATCTTTTATGTAAAGCCAGCCATACTAGATAATGACAGCTGATAGATTCACTTCAAAAGCACATTCCTAGTCTGACCAAAACCCTAATGCCGATGAAACCCTTAAGACTCTTGTAGCTATAGGAGAAAATGTTGTCTTTCTTTATTGAACAGTTTTATGTTC